CTTTAACCTGCTGCGCCACCAGGGGGGGCCAGAATAGAATTTTTTTAAAGATTTATTTATGTATAAAAGAACTGGGGTCCAGGCCATAGATTGTGGTGGGGGTTGGTGAAAGGATTCACAGAGTCAGAATGGGGAGCAGAACAGACAGCTCTACTGAGATACAGGGCTGAGGGGAGCAGCGGGTGAGACAGGAGAGGTCTGCTGTGCCATGTGGGTCAGCTCCCTGGCTGGGGGTAAACTTGTGCTGCAGTGGCTGAAGATAGCTTTATAGTGCTGTGGTTTTAATCCATTACACCACCAGGGAGGGCCAGAGAACTGAATATTTATAGGGACAACTTTGTGTATGAACTGTGAGAGGAAAGACAAATTATTTCTAGGAAGAACCACTACACTTTGATGTGGAGGAATCACTGGAGGGAAATGAGGACTGAGGAGGATACATAGAAGATGGGAAGCAGTTTAGAAGTGTTCATTTTAAATATAAAAGCAGGATAACTTTTTAGAGTGTGGAAGTCAGCTTCTTTGAAATGGCCCCTTCTCTGGGGCTATGATATCTAGGCCAGGAAGAAGAATGGGCGGGATCAGCAGCTCCTCGGGCTGCTCATTGTAGACAGGAAAGCAGCTATTGAATTCAGCAGTTCATTTCTGTAGATTGTGCTGTTACGTCTTCCTGGCATATTGTGTCAGATACACTTATAATGGGGCGGGGGGCTTGTTACTTCTTGTGCAGTTACATAAATATGAAGAGAACTATGGGGAAGCCCTGGAAGGCTTCTCTCGTGCTGCAGCACTGGATCCTGCCTGGCCGGAGCCCCAACAACGAGAGCAACAACTCCTGGAATTTCTGAATAGATTAACCAGCCTCCTGGACAGCAAGGTAAACGTGAGGCTGAATCCTATTTATTTATTTATTTTTTTTATTCTGCTGCGTGTCAGTAAAGTAAGAACAGATACAGGTTTTGGTAGTCGTAACCCTATAGAATTGGGTGGGTTGGGAGGGAAGAGTCTCTTAGACCCTCAGAGAGACTGTTCGCCAGCATCTTTGTTTACTCTTCCTTTGTAGGGAAAGGTGAAGCCCAAGAAGCTGCAGAGCATGCTGGGGAGTTTGCGCTCTGCACACCTAGGCCCTTGTGCTGATGGCCGCTATCAGTCAGCCTCTGGGCAGAAGGTGACCCTGGAGCTCAAGCCACTGAGCACGCTGCAGCCTGGTGTGAACAGTGGTGCTGTGGTCCTGGGGAAGGTGGTGTTCAGCCTTACCACAGAGGAGAAGGTTCCCTTGTGAGTTTCTTTCGTGCTTCCCTCTTTTTCATCTCTTTAAACTCATTGTTCTTACTTCCTGGCTGGTTTCTGACAGTTGAGGACACTGCTAGTGGTCACTGCTGAGTGAGTTTTGCCTTCCTTACCAGGAGCAGGTAATTGCCTAGACAATGTCTAATAGTCTCCTTGCAGTCTGTCAGCCCCTTTCTGTCCCCCTGAGTTTGGTGCTCAGCTATTCGTCAATAGCCGACAGCCAAAACTTGACAGGTGTGCTTTTTATACGATAGATGGTAATCTTGACTTTCTCCTACCTTTTTGTGTTTTCATGATTATAGAGGTTGAAGGAAGAATTCTCAGTCCTTTTGAACTTAAGTATGCCAAGGCAATTCTGGAGGGCGCGCTTTCAGAACTCACTTGCTGACCCGATGAGGAGATTATCTTTAGATGTTCCACAGACAGTAATTATTGAGCATCTTCTAGTTGTGTTTTTGGGAGTCAACAAAAGAATTGTAAAGGACCCAAGTAAAGGGCACTTAACAGATGAAGTAAGTTACGAACATTCCTTTAGAAAATTTTGAACTCTTGAAAAATCAGGGTTTTGCTAGTGCCATCACTCCTTGGTCCTTTACTCACTTTCTAATCCCCAGCTAGCTGGTTTCCTTTTTGTTTTCTTACTGAAATGGTATTTTTTTTTGGATCCCCAGTGTCTGATCAGTGGCTCCCACTACATGGCTCCATAACATTCTGAATTACTCTCACTGTTCCCTTTCGTTCCTTTCTGCTCTTTCCAAACTGAGATGCTAACAACTACTATATGCCTGTATTTTCTCATGGCATTTTCCTAGAATATGTATTTGAAGAGTCAAAGAGCCAGAAGATAATTGAGAAAAGTTTAAAGTAGCTATAAAACAAAACCTAGATCAGGAAGGAATGAGGAGAGACTGACAAAGGCAGATTTTAGAGTGTCTTGAGAATGAATTTATTTTTTTGTCCATTCCTTGGTTTCTCTTTCTCTGCCAATTTCTTTTCTTTCTTTCTTTCTTTTTTTTTTTTTTTAAGATTTATTTATTTATACATACAGAACTGGGGTATAGGCCAGAGGTTCAGGGGTGGTGAGAGGCTTCACCAGAAACAGAGTGGGGAGCAGAACAGGCAGATCGATGAAGTACACTGCTGAGGGGAGCAGCGGGCGGGTGAGGAGAGGTCTGCCTCGCCATGTGGTCACCTCCTGGGCAGGCAGGAATCGAACTCATGTGGACCTGGCTTTAGCTTCTCAGTGCTGTGCTTTAACCCGCTACACCACCAGGGAGGGCCTCTCTGCCAATTTCTAAATGTAAGTTCTAGAAGACTTTGTTTTTATTCCTCTTCTCTTTACCAGGATGGCAAATAGGTGCCACCTTTCACCACCATCAATTGGTGATGACCCCAATTACCTGACAGAAGGATTGTGAGGCTTTGACTTGATTGATTCTCCAGGGGAAACTGGCTGCAGTGTTGGCTGTCTCAGCTGTGCCTGGTGACGGCTTGAACACTGATTCTGCATCGTCATTTATAGGTCATCTCATTTGGTGATCTTGTCTAAAGCTTTGACTGCGCCTCTGTGTTCACACATGGATCTCCAGCCCAGGCCTCTGAGTTGTGCATGTCTATATCCTACTACCTCTGGGATCCAATCAGAAATCTCAGACTCCTTGTATTCACATTTACTTATCTCATTTCACTCAACCTGGCTTCTCCCTGAATTTCTTGTCAGCTAGTCAAGGCTTCTAGAAGTTCCAGACTTTTCCATCTTCTTGTGTAGAGGCCATCACCGTGGCCAATAGATTTGCCTTTCTGCCCTTACTACTGCTTTGTCTCAACTAACTTAATTCACCTCCTGCCCCCTGGCTACCTGTTTTTCCTCTGATCTTCCACACTGGCACTGTGTGGCTTTTAGGATACAGTTTGAACTCCTCAACTTAGCTTGGCATAGAAAGCCCTTTTTCATTTGCTCCTACTTGGCTCTTTTCATCATCTTCTGCCACATTCCCACTTATGCCCTTTGTTCCAGCCATGGGGTTTTTCTGTAGGCTTTAGAACAGCTATTTTACCCCTTTATCCTTTTGTTGCTTATTGATATAACTAGTATTTTCCCTCCAATATTTTACTGGATTTCAAATATCCAGTAAAATTGAAGAATCTTACAGCAGACATCTTTGTACCAAGCTACCTGTATTTTATTAGTATTTTGCTATACTTAGTTTTCCACCTACTTATCTCTGTTGATCCATTGATCCACCTTATTTTTGTTAAGTTTCAAAGTGCATTATAGAGATCACTTTTTTCCTCTAAATCTCCTAGCTTGCAGTTCAGCATGTTTACTTACTTTTTGTTAATGTAAAATTTACATACACTGCAGTGTATACCTTGTAGACTCTGCGCCATGTTTTGACAAATGCACACCTACGTCACTCACACTTGTCATTACCGTGACCCCAGGGAGTTCTCTCATGTTCTCTCCCCGCCCTTCTTCCCATCCTTCCTGAAGGTTTTTTATTTCCACTGAGGATTAATTTTCCTGTACTATTTAACCCAGGTCTTATTTTGTTTTTTATAATTCAGTTTGAGAATCTCCACAAGGAAACCTCTGCCTTATCATTTTGATTTCGGCATTTCTCTCTTGGTTTCCCATGGCCCAATCTTGGCTTCACTGAATTCGGCACAAGGGAAAAGCTATTTTAGCACCTTTCATGCTTGCACTGTAGGCCATGGTTTACCTGATGCCTGCTAGACTAAACAGTCACTCACTCCTGGAAGGTGTCTGGCTACAGAATGGCCCTCACTAAAAGTTTGTGGAATTAGGGTCCTCCCTGGTGGCGCAGCGGGTTAAAGCACTGCACTGAGAAGATAAAGCCACTTCCGCATGAGTTCGATTCCCGCCTGCCCCGGAGGTGACCACATGGCGTGGCAGACCTCTCCTGACCCGCCCGCTGCTCCCCTCAGCAGTGTACTTCGTCGATCTGCCTGTTCTGCTCCCCACTCTGTCTCTGGTGAAGCCTCTCACCACCCCTGAGCCTCTGGCCTGTACCCCAGTTCTGTATGCACAAATAAATAAATCTTAAAAAAAAAAAAAGTTTGTGGAATTAAATTGACTGTGATAGTTAAACATTTGGTGATGATTGTGACAGCTAAATGGACAGACTAGGAATAATGTTTTACTGTGATAGTTTGAGCTAGTTCAGTATTAGTATTTGGTAAAGTGACAGATGGATGAGATTTGTGCATGTTGTTTAAAGATAGTACAAGTCTAAGACAAATGAAACTCAAATGTTCATGGTGAAATATGGTACTTGTCGTAAATATTCTAAGTAAGTAACTCAGAAGGCTATTTATACTGCTGGTATTGTAAAATCGCCATTTCTGTTCTTTTTGTCCTTTCCAACTCCCACCCTCCTCCAATCCATTTTAACCTGGCAGTACATTTGGCCTGGTAGATTCAGATGGACCTTGTTATGCAGTGATGGTGTATAATGTGGTACAGAGTTGGGGAGTGCTCATTGGAGACTCTGTCGCCATTCCTGAGCCCAGCCTCCGGCTTCACCGAATTCAGCACAAGGGAAAGGTGAGTGATGGCTGGGTTTATATCCCAGTTCAAGGGCTCAAGAGCCATGTGTATATTTACTTATAAATGTATAACTTACTGCAGAGGAGAACTGGTAAACAAGAGTGAAATATCTCAGGTGTTATTTTGTAGATCTTCAGTGTTTCTCTTTTTCATAATTATAGACACATATTCATATGTATATTTTTAAAAGAGTGGATTTTACATGCACATGTTTGTGAACATTTCCTGTGCTTTTACATATTTTACCACATTGTTTTGAATCGATATCGAGGTGGAGATGAAGATGATGATGTTATTTAACATTTCTTGAACTCTAAACAGGCAGCTACACCCTAAGCTAAGACCTTTGCTGCTTGTACTCATTTAACCTCATCACAACTGAATGAGATTAGGTGTTTTGTCACTTATCACCAGTGAGATTAGGGGTTGGCAAGCTTGGCAAACTGACCAAATCGAACTCAGCCTGTTTTCGTATGAAACAAACAAACAAACAAACAAACAAACAAACAAACAAACAAACAAAATGGTGATACCTGAAAGTTGTAGGAAATTCATATTTAAGTGTTCACAAGTGAATTTGTTTGGAGCATAGCCACGCTTATTTGTGTTCTGTCACCTGTGGTTGCTTTTGCACTAGAGTGTCAGAGTTGAATGGTCTGTGACAGAAATTATAGGACCCACAAAGCCTAATATAGTTATTATTTGGCTCTTTATATAAAACATTTGCTGGACCTAGTTCTAGATTATGTTCAGTTTTTCCCAGTTACGATTATAGTAATTTTTAAATTTTTTGCCCATATCAATGATTATTTCTGTAAGTGAATTTCTAAGAATACTGGGTCTAAAGCATATACAAAATTGTAAGAGTTTTTGATACATATTGTCAGACAATGTTTTTGAAAATTGTACCAGTTATTATAATACCAACAGTGGATATTCTTGTTTCCTTGTAGTTTTCTTCTCAATTCTGAATTGAAACCTTTGAGAAATTATTTGACGCTTTGTTATTAAAAGTATAGCACTAATTGTTTCCTTGACAATTAGTGAGGTTGAATATTTTGCCATATGTTTATTGATTGTGTTCCTTTTATAAACTGATTTTTTTTTTACTTACCCATATTCTTGCTAGGATGTGTAAAACATTTGATTGATGAGAACGCTTTCATTTATGTTTTTACACCTAAAAGAGCTTTCTTTATACTCCCACTGGGACAGTGTTTTTTGAATGAAGATCTTTTCACATTTTACAACTTACTGAGTGGATGAAGCGAACCAATATCATTTCTGTTATCAGGAAAATATCTACATCAGCTCTTCTGTTTCTTCCTCCTGATCTAAAAGGGAGAAGTAGCTTTATAGGAGCTAGATTAAGGCCTCACCCACACTTGGGCTAATTGCTCCCCAGCATTTCCACTGTATGCTGACCGTACTTGTTAGCACACACTGAGAGGGGCGGCCAAGGTGCCCTTCTGTCAGGCACCACCAGGAACCTGTCTGTTTGGAATCAGAGAATTGTCCCCTTCTTGTAGTGACTCTGCTGGAACTTATCTGCCCCAGATTTTCATCGTGGGGATTGAAAACTTCGGCAAAATAACCTCCCCTCTGCTAGCCCAGCACTATTTAAAATGAAATGGAGGTAGGGGGTGAGTCTGCAGAATGGGGAGTGTGGGGGGAGGTCACAGGCAGTGTAAGGACTCCCACGCTGGAGTTTCTTTGGTCTTAGGATCCGTAGTGAGCCTCTGTATGTTTGTCTTTTCTAGGATTTTTCCTTTTCCAGTGTTCGTGTGGAGACGCCCCTCTTGCTGGTGGTGAATGGGAAGCCCCAGGGCTCCAGCAGCCAGGCTGCAGCCACAGTGGCATCGAGGCCGCAGTGTGAATGACCTTCCCTGACTCGCATGCTGAGGAGGCGTGGAGGCGAGGAGATGAGCCCCGGGCACCCTGTGGCCGGACTGGCCACTCTCATGACTCAGCTGGGAGGGGGAGATGTTCTAGGTGAAGACATCCTCCTCCTCTGGCCGCTAAGACATGTTGTGTCCTGTCTCTCTCTCCTGTTACCATGTTTCAGCTCTCTTCTGGGCCACATGCTCCCCGGTATATCTCCTGCCTTTCATTGCTCTCCTATGTTTTAGGCAAAGAGCATGGAATTTGGCAAAGTGTTGGGATCTTGCCAAGGGGCAGAGACCCCAAGGTTTCTGTTCTTGCCTCTTCAATGAGCCTTGTGTATATATCATTTCAGTATTTATTACTAAAGTTGGGGGGAGCTTAATTTTTTTAATGGCCTTTTTTTAATTTTATTTTAATCCTTCCCCATTTGGGGGGCTGGAGGAGAATAAAATTGTTTGGAAAAAAGTGCTGTGTAGTTCAGCCTGCTTCATGCTCTCCAGACTTTGATTTTGGTTTTAGGATCACTTCAATCGATTATAGGAAAACCCCTTTTCAAGCCCTTTTATATAAAATAGTTATTTCTCTTCTAGTTGAAAGGTGTTCTTCGAACCGCAGCTCAGGACAGGAATGAGCTCCACACAGTCACTGGGGGGCCAGCTTCTTTCCATTTCCCCATTCTGTCACCCCTAACAGGTGATCCTTATCATTGTCCACAGTGACAGCAATATACTTTTTTAAGTTGTTTTTTTTTTAAGATTTGTTTTATGTATGTATGCATGTATGTATGTATGTATACATGAACTGGGCTGTCGGCCTGAGGTATATGGGAGCAGTGGGTGGACAGGAAAGGGCTGCTGTACCAGGTGTGTCACCTCCCTGGCTGGGGACCAAACTTGTGCTGCAGTGGCTGCCGATATCTTGATAGCACTGAGATTTAATCCCTGTGCCACCAGGGAGGCCCAGCACATTGTTGTAAATGTGTTACTGGGTTGAAAGACCAAGAGAATGGTGCTCAGTTTATTTAGATTCTTTTAGTCCATTTTTAGCTGTTTCTTAGTAACCTTGTGGGGAAATAGAAGAAATGATTAGCAACTAATTGAATAGTTATAGCCAGAGAGTACATTATTGAAGGCAAATATATTAGGAAGCTATCCAGTGTTCTGACTCAGGTCTTTGCCCTTGGTCCAGCACTGTTTAACTCGATCAGTTATTTGATTATCATTGACAATTGACATCAGTCAGTTTATAAAGACTGGATGACAGAATAAGCACCTATGTAGAAATTGTGTGGACTGAATCTTAAGATGCAATTTTGAAGTCCATTAGTTTGGTTCTCAAAGGTAAGTTTCTTGAAGTATTGCTTCAACATCATTCATGAACATTACTAGGAATTTTAGTAAGAAAGTCAATATGAATAGCGAATATGGTGACATAGCTGTAAAACACTATGAGGAATGAATCAGGTAATTGGGAGTTTTATACAGTGTCAGATAAGTGCTGGACCTTGTGTTCACTACTCTGTTGATTTTGAGGCCTATAGTTACAGGCTAGTGATCAGCAACCCAAAGGCATGTAAAAATAACTTGAGATGGCTGAGGACAGCTGGGAGGAAGGGGTGATGTAGGTGAGCAAGAGGCAGTAGAAAGGCGATGAGACTGTCAAGTCCTGTGAGGAGTTGGCATATTCTGTGTAGGGCCAGACAGTAGAAAACTGGCTAGTGAGTGGTAGAGAGAAGCAGAACTTACATCTTACGATGAAATATATGTGCAAGCGAGTATGCAAAGTATGTATGTGCAGTTTAAAGAGTAATTAGAATAACAGTGAAAATGTCCACCTGGTTTAAAAAATAAAAGTCACTATTATCACAGAAGCCCCATTTTGCCTTCCTATTGGCTCATTTGCTTTGGTTTCCCAGCTATATATCTCTTTGATCATGACACAACTTACCCTGATGGGAAAGATAATCGGGTTTTACTTTTTCACTATTAAAGGCTGTACATTATTAATAGTTCTGTACATGTCAAGGCATATCAGGACAAGAGTTTCTTTTGTAACAGTGGTTCTCAAAAGAATGGTCCCTAGACCAAGAACTTCATTATTCCTGTACACTAATATTTACGCCCCAATTCCTGAATTAGAAACCAGAGGAAGAATTCAGGGATCTGTGTTTAAGAAACTCTTCAGGTGATGGATGCATATTAATGGTGAGAACTACTGTTGCGGAGTACTAGGTCACATACTCAACTTTTTCTGAAAACTACCAAATATTTCTAATGCGTACCAGGTTATGTCTCCATTATCAGTGGGTGAGTCTTCCTAATGCCCTAGTCCTAATGCCTAGTCCTCAGTGGTGAGTCCTGCTTCCTACCTGGACAGTTGTTCCTTATCCCACCTTTATGGGGTGGTGGTTGTAGGAATTCTACCGAAGTCCTGCAGCTTTTCTTCCTTAAAAGATTTTTCTTGGGGCCCTCCCAGGTGGCACAGCGGGTTAATGCACAGCACTAAGAAGCTAAAGCCACTTCAGCAAGAGTTCGATCCTTGCCTGCCCCAGAGGTGACCCCATGGCGCAGCAGACCTCTCCTGACCCGCCCGCTGCTCCCCTCAGCATTTTACTTTGTCGATCTGCCTGTTCTGCTCCCCCCTCTGTCTCTGGTGAACTCTCTCACAGCCCCTCCACCTCTAGCCTGTGTCCCAGTTTTGTATGAATAAACAAATAAATATTTTTAAAAAAAAAGATTTTTCTTGGATTATTTCATTCCTACCCTTGTGTTCAATTATCCAACAAAGTCCTAGCTGCCCTAAATGTAATTTTTTTAAAAGATTTATTTGTTTATGCATACAGAACTAGAGTACAGGCCAGAGGTGCAGGGAGTGAGAGGCTTCACCAGAGACAGAGTGGGGAGCAGAACAGGCAGATCGACGAAGTACACTGCTGAGGGGAGCAGCGGGCGGATCAGGAGAGGTCTGCCAGGCCATGTGGATCACCTCGGGGCTGGGATGAAACTCGCATTGAAGCATCTGCGGCTATTTACAGTGCTGCGCTTTAACCAGTTGCGCCACCAGGGGGAGCCAGGTCAGGCTTTCTAACCTGATTTTTACACTGATCGCCTTTTTGCTTTCCCCTGTAACTGGAACCTTCCTTTCTTCATTTTTAAAAACTTTGTAAATAATAATAATCATAAGAATAAGCGATCAAGTTATCAGCCAAGTTTATGTATTAGTAAGTAGCAGAGTCAGGATTTAAAATCACTCCACTTCAAAGGTTATGGGCAAATTTCTTAGCTTTTCTGAGAGTCCATGTCCTCATCTGTGAAGTGGAGATTGTATTACTACCTTGTAAGATCGTCGTGAGTATTAAATGAGCTAATATATGTCATAGATGCGGCACAGGACAAGCAGACAACTCCAAGTATGTTGAAATTTCAGCAGTGTTAGAGCTAGATTTGCATCCCCTCACCCCATTCTAGAATCTGCATCCTTATCTATTATGCTAAATTATCTTTGTACTGTTTCAGGAGCAGGAAATACTGCCAACAGTTTCAATCCTCAAGCACTAATCTTGTTTTATTTCCTTCTTCAAAAACCCACAGTAATTCCTCAGTGCCAGTGAGACTTTGCTACAAAGGGGCTTCAGCCCACATTTATGTTTCGGTCTGCTTATCTGTGTTGCCTCCTTACTTCTGTTTTTATTATATATATATATATATTTAAAGATTTATTTATTTTTGCTTACAGAACTGGGATACAGGTCAGAGGTGTGGGGACTGAGAGGCTTCACCAGAGACAGAGTGGGGAACAGAACAGGCAGATCTACTGAAACACACTGCTGAGGGGAGCAGCGGGTGGGTCAGGAGAGGTCTGCCCGCCATGTGGGTCAATTCCCTGGCTGGGGATTGAACTTGTGCTGCAGTGGCTTCAGAGAGCTTCATAATACTGTGCTTCAACCCATAGAACCACCAGGGAGAGCCCTCATTTCTTTAATATATATATATATACACACACACACACACACACACACATATATACACACACACACACATATATACACACACATATATATACACACACACACACACGGCACATCATTCTTTTTTGTGCAATTCATGCTTTTCCCTCTCAGGTTGACCTATCTACATTTCTGATGTGTAGAGTGCCAGCATTGAAAGTGACCTGAAGAGACTGTCTCTTCCACCATCCCGTTAGCTAATTTTAGATATTTTATCTCTAGCTGCACTGCCCATTGTGTCATACATCCTCCCCCTCTTTTCTGTCTCTACATATCAGGTTGGGAAATCTCCCAGGATGCATCAGCCTGATGAGTGCTAGGTATTGGCAGGTCTTGTGACCTTTCTCATATTGATTGTTTAGGTTAGCTACATTTTCTTTTTTTAAATTCTGTACATACTTTTTTATCGCCTTAAAATATTTGAACAAAAAATTGTTTTCCCAAATAAAAACTGTACTGTAGGATCACTCACTTATCAGTCAGACCGCATACTTAATTCCCTGTCACTAGGCTGGTTTCCAGCTCCCTCTTCTCCTGGCAGGTTGTGTGGAGCAGGCACCCACCCGGAGGGGCTCCCCGCCAGTGGTGCATGTGTGTGGAGAGGACGCAGCAGGGGGAGAGTGTGGGCAGGCACAGGACAGAGCAAACTGCTCTGGCCTCTTTCCTGGCATGGAGGCAGCATTTTATAGTGGGCCAGAGAAGTGGATTGTGTTTTTCTGCTCTCTAATTGTAATTTTCCTTCTCATTTAATTTTAGGAAATTGTATATACAGTAGTATGCCATGCAAAAGTTATCAAAAAGGTCTACAGCTAAAAGAAAGCTTCATTTCCACTCCTGAGCACTGGTTTCCTTGGTGTAGTAATGACTCTGTTTCCGAGAGCTATCCTTTGTATTTATGAGCTCAGTAGCATATCTACAGAAGTATCTGAATAATACTTAACTATGTGATTTAAGCAAATGTCGTGAATTTCAGCATTAAGTTTTTAAAATTCTTAGATGGAAATACTAACACATACCCAACAAAACCCACAGAGATCCGGTGACAATCAGTGAGTACGTTTGTGCTCATGCTTTGAAAGTCACTAGGTATTTTGCAGGCACAGGATGGGGGGTGAGGGGTGGCGTGGCCATGGAAACAGTACTGCTGTGCACAAACAGTACTGTCCTGTGACTGGACAGGAGCAATTCTGAGCTGGTGGCAGGGTGGTTATGCTGGGACACCTGCTTAGTTTTGTTGGCCATATTTCCCAGCCAGACCCTGTCTCTCTCATGGCATTTTCTTGGGGTTTTCTACATGGCTAATCAAGAGATATCACTTGCACCTTAATTGCCAAGTGTGTATTCACTTGGGGTGAACAGTGAAAGCTTGCCAGAGTGCAGGGATGCCTCCCTCACTCCTCACTGTGCCCCCTCTTCACGTTCAGGGAGTTGGTGCTGGAACTTGGCTGATGCAACTGTT